AATTCCAAACCATGGCGGCTGAGCACACTGGGCAAAAGCCATAGCTAGCCATTAAGTGCAGTACCAACGAAGAACCAGCATTAGCATCATTGTCATCACCGTCACCATCACCATTACCATCACCATCTCCGTCACCATCACCATCACCAGCTCCGTCACCATCACCATCACCATCACCATCACCATCACCACCACCACCACCATCATTCAGCATCAGCACCAGCATCAGCAGCAACAACAACAACAACAACAACAACAACAACAACAACAACAACAGCACAATCAACAACAAGCGGCGTCAGAGTTGCCAACGCGTTGAGAGGAATCGGAGTGACTATGATCTCATCAGTGGGTACCAAAGTTACACCTGGTCTTTTGTATCCAGGGTCGGCACAAAGCAGGCTGCGCAGCTGCGCAGCCTGTCCGAGAACAACTACTTGCATTGTTCAACGCTTCTTCATCAGTTCCTCAAAGCCACAGTTCCCCTCAGCATTGCCCAGCCAAATGCAAAAGCAGTGATGTCATTGCCTCATGTGCAGCCCAGCTTCTGTACGCTTTTGCCTTGATAATAAACATTTCTGGCATGTGATCGATTGCGTGTCGCTGAGATATCGAAGCGGTCTCGCCTGAGCAGCAACTTTCAAGAGCCTGACAAACATCCGCCCATGCAAGTCCTCTCAAGATGGGCCCAAATGTTGCTCTGAATGACCGTCTGGACGGCATGTTCAAAACAACATCATGGCACCTGGACGCCGCATGATGGAATTCATCGGTCAAAGCATTAAAGGTTGCAAGGGAAGCTACTGAACAGATTCTGTACGAGTCGCTACCATTCGCAGGGCGACACAAGACTTCCCAGGCAAACACACACTTCATCATGGGGGAGCTCCGAGCATTCTCAATCGCCAAATGCTCGACATAGATGTCCGAGTCAAAGCAATGGAGCTGGCACTTTGGCAAAACCAACAGACTCAGTTATTGCAATTACTTTTCGCCCCCGTGCCCGCAGCCACAACTGGCCACAACGTGCTTGCCAAGCGGCTGCTTGTCCAGCAGGACTCAGGGAGAAATGCAGCGAAAGGAGTGGGAGGATCGAACAAACACAAATCAGTCACAAAGCCTTTGCTGCCAAATTTGCCTGAGAAGCCTCACGTACTATCATTCACTCTTATCAAGCAAGCCTAGAAGCAACTCCCACTGCCTCTCCGTGCCAACAACAGCACACCCGTCTCTTGAAGGATGTAACTTGCATTCAGCTCCTTTCATGCTGTGTGAGTTCTCCCATCAGGCCTTCCCACCTATCTAGCAGCTTCAGCTGCTCTGCTACTGCAAAATCTGCGCGGTTTTCCTCGGGCGGCAAACGCATCCTTCAACTGGGACGTGGTAGCACCCAGTGACACCGTAGAAAAAGAACAGTGCAGGTCTCTGGGGTCAACCAATTTGAGTGGGGAGCCTACCAAACAAGAGAAACAAGCTGAAAACAGGGTGCGCTTTCCTCAAAGCAAGAGTACATGTTGCCACATGTTGCCACCCATCACTACTGAGATTCCAAGTCCAGCTTGTAGTGCCCCGTTGGGTTGGCCGCAGAGAAGTCGAGCAGCCTGCAGGTTGATCCACGCATCAAGAGAATTTGAAAGCCCACAATGCAGGTCCTGATCGAATCCCGTAGGCAACCCCCATGGCAGCACCATGTCATTAATGCAAGGCTGGCACAAGTCTGGGAGAGATTGTTGAACGAGCTCCAAGCTCAGGTTACTCTCGAGTGTGCGCTGTATCTCATGACACGTCATAATGCTGACAGGATGTCGCGTGTGGCACAGCTTGCTCTCTCTGTGCCCGATTGAAAAAGAGTCCTGAGTCCTGCAATCGTATCATCTTGGGCTTCCCGCGCCAGCTCTTGGCGATCCCGACAAAAGGTCTAAGGCCGCGGCTGTTTCAGGTGCATCCGACTGCTCACGCACTCCGAGGTTGTGGTGTACATGCCCTGCGCTATAAAGTACCTGGGCTCACTTGGCAGTTGTGGTGATGGTATCTGAGCATGCGCTGGCGGACTTCAGGGCATCATTTGGGGAGGCCAGCCCACGCAAGCAAGCTCCTGAAATCAATTCTTGCCGGAACTAGAAATCAGCCATCTCTTGCGATGTCTTGCTTGCAGTTCCAAGCCAGCAACAAACACTAATAGCATACACCAGAGCGCAAGCTTCGGGGATAGAGATGGTGCAAGCCAGTCAGTCTCACAGCAAGCAAGGCAGCTGGGACTCACTGCTTCTGCGCCAGCTCAATGAACAACCCTCGGCCACGCATGACTGAGCCCTCCCCAAAGCCGTGCTGACCAGCTGCCAGCCAGGGTCTCTCTTCACGGACGGCAGCAAGCTGGCAATGACCTTGGGCTTGTACAAGGGCGATGTCCTGAGGCAACCGAATGGAAAGTTGCTTTTCTCTGAAAACCGCAGAGCACCCTCAAAGTACCAAATAGCCGGCCACTCAGGCCGCACATCACATACATCAGCTCAAGCTGCTGCCTCACAAACTTTTGCTGGCCCCGTCACTGAACAGGAGCTTGTTCCATTTACCATGGCATCTTTTTTCAGAAAGCACTCCGTCTCAGCCAAATTTACTGGCGGCTTGAACCAGTTGGCAGATTATTTGGCTTTAAGGGATAAACTAGCTAGGTGCAATTGCCTTCTGCACCTAGTTGCCCGCCGTTCTTCTTCAAAATCATGCCTGGGGCGTTTGGAGCGCCAAGCTGTAGCCCGAGCGGGAGGAACCATTCATTGAAAGTGTAAGGTTCAAGATCCGATCCAATCGAATAGAACCCAAAATGCAATAATCCATGGGGGAAGGGGAGATGTACAGAAGACGACGCAACACCACAACCCTGCAAGCTTTTCGCCCGCAAAGATTCGCCAACAGTTGATGAATATCTGGCATGCTCATGCTCAAGACAAATGTGTGTATGTTCCGGCATCACTTTTAAAGGTTAAGTGAAGTTAAGTGTGTCTCTGCGGGCCAGCACCGTCCATTTTCACCCAACTTGACCTAGGACCCTGGTCTATCATGTTGACCCATTTCCCCCTCGTGAACTCGCCCCGACTCGACTTGCGACTTACGAGCCGGGGTGCGCCGCGAGCACCTTGAAGTCCGACAAGGACAAAGCGAAGTCGAAGCTTAAGGCCTGCAAGCTCCCCAATCCTAATCTGGATGTGGGACACCAATGCACCAAGGGAAACCACTACCATCTGGCATGAGGATTTAGAATTAGACCTGCGGCAGTGCGAGAACCCCTTTGTTGAATTGGGCTTGAAAGGTGGTTTGTCTGACCACTTTCCCCGCACATCCGCAAGCGAGATCGAAGCCCCCCAAAGAGTGAGCCCCAGCCCCGATGTCTGACCACCTGCTAAACTGCGAGCGGTGACTTTTTTTTCCAAACTGCGGCCTTGCCCACAACACATGCCATTGTTCCACACTGCCCGGGATGGCAACCAACAGCTTGCAACATGGCAATTGGCGAATCCCTGCTTAGGATCACCTGAGTCGCCACAAACGAAGCTTCAAACAGAGGTGCAATTGAATCCCTGCTTAGGATCACCTGAGTCGCCACAAACGAAGCTTCAAACAGAGGTGCGATTCCCAACTCGCAACCATTCCGAAAGACATCTTCCCTCTCAAGCGGCACCCAGAATCGCCAGAATTCATGACTGTTGCGGGGAGGGCGCTTCATGGACAATGCACGCACCACCCGTTCCAACGACAAAACTATACAATGTCCACAGCCTTTTCAGCTACATGGGCGTACCTTTTCTTAATTTCACCTTTTGGGGCAAAGAAACTAAACAGGACGCCTCCCCCATTCCCGAGAAAAACACCCACTCCCGCGCCTTGAGCAGCACGGTCTGCGAATGATGAAAGCCTTCCAGGTCTTTCCAGCGCCCAACGACTGGCACCGCCTGCGGGCTGCGGGCCGGGAACGCACCCGTTTTGGGAGTGCACCGAAGGGAAGCCAAAAGGACAGCTTTCATTTGTTGGGGTCCTGCCCTTTTGGAAACGAACAATTGAACCAGAGCTCAGTTCAGTTCAGCTTCGAGTGGTGGATCCAAACAACAAAAATGATGTGTGTTACATGTGTGGCACAAAGAGCATGTCGTGCACTGAATCCCCACGCAACTCACTCATCTGCCTTTCTGCCGTCGAGACGGTGCAGCGTCAGATCCTGGAAACCTCAACTCAGCTTTGGTCGGACGGGGCTGGCAAGCCTGTTGAATCTGATGTGGCTAAGTTAGGGGCACTCATTCTCAACCATAAAGACACGAGGCGTGGGGAGCCCCTGCTTTTGTTTGTTGCCAGGCCCAACCTGGGTAGAAAACCAACTGTCAGTAAAGGGTTCCAAAGGCCTATTGGGTCTCTCATCTTCACCCGGGAAGGCCTCTGCGGCTTTGGTAGGGAAACTGATGCGCTGGGGAACAGAAGGGATGTGAGCATGATCGCCGCTTTGGCTGGCTACCCGGCCACCCCACATCTCTCCACTTCCCTCACGAGGGCCGTCCAAGCTGCGCTTGAGAAAGGCGTCGAAGTCATGGTTTACATCTTTGAATGCTGACGACTCCAGGCAGCGGTCCTGTGGGAAACACAGGCCTAGAAAAGTTCAACGCATTGCAGTTTCTGCATCTGGGTCTATTGAAGTGAGATGCGATATCCTCAGGATGGCCCTCTAAACGGCGGCTAAGGAACATCACCCCCAAATGAAACTTTGCAAACCCCTGAACTCGTTCACTTTGAGGGGCCCGTTCTGATGCCCAAGGGGCACAAACAATCAGACGGCACGGTGAAGAACAAGGACCACTCGAACACAAAGTTGCGCTGTCATGGAAGTCGCCTGACAGTTGTCCATGATTCAATCAGGGTCCCGTCCTTCCCCCTGCAGATTTTAAATGGAACCTTGAAAAATACAGCATCAATACGGGAATCTCCTTTTGGTCGGCCTGTTTGGGTTCCAAATCAAGGGGTATGGGTCAAAATTAAGCCACCGGGGGACCGCAGGTTTTGGTCCATGTTTCCACTTACCAGGGGTCCATTTTGGGTACATATTTTTGACCCACAGCCACTTGAGGAGTTTGTGACTGCTCGGCAGTCCAGGTTGAAGGCCAAGGTGACCTCGCCCTCCTGCGGCACGTCCCAGGCACCTGGAGGAAGTGCCCGGAGACAACCCCTGGCTGGGAAGGGTTCTCAGTTCTCAGACCTCTGTCTTTGCTTTTTGTGCATGGATGAGATCCGTTTGCACCGCTTTGAAACATTTTGAACCATGGGAAACCATTGTTGGTTGGTATTCACTTCAGGGTTTCTCGGGTAGTGCAGGATTTCGTCCATCCACAGTATGTGCCTTCCTCTTGGAGATGGTGGTCTCGATAGTGCGACATGCTCTATCTTCAACTCGTCTCCATGTGATGCGTGCAGCTTTCAAAACCAAATGCGGCGCCCCTCATCGGGGAGCGGCTTCAGACACTCTGCCCAGGGGTGACTTGACCACTCTCGCCCTGCTTCAGCCTGGCAAAAAGGAAATCCTTTTCATCCTACATCCAAAGCCCGCCATGTGTTCAGCATGCGGGAGCCAACCGTTGAGACGGGCACGCTTGTCGCTTGTTCCCATCGCAGCACTCGACAACCGCCGTGATCGCAGCTGAGCTGCCATCTTTCTTCTTGCCGCCGTGCGAGAAATGCTCTTCTGAAAGCACCTGGGTTCCCAACCCAAGTTTTGTCAAGCCTTGGTTTTCCCCAGTCCCTGTCCTTGCTGTTAGCTGTTGAAAACGGAGGGTTGGTAGCCCCACTACGGAAATGACTGCCAAGGACACGCTTTGCAAAACCCAAGGGAAGGATGAAGCTATTGCCCTTCAGTAGCCGAGGCAATTGTTATTCCTCATTCTTCCTATGCCGTCCTGTTATGCACCCGCAATCCCTGTGTGTCCATTCTCTTCTGTCTGGTTCATCTGGTCACGCTGTGCCACTCCCAATTCCCGCCCCCTTGCAGGCCTGGGCATCCAAGCAAGAAACGCTGAGCCCGAAACTGCTCACCACATTATCACACTACCTACCCCATTGGACGCCTCGAGAAACAACTCGCCTGCAATGGCAACTTGCTGTGCCAGGAAGGACCAAAGAGCTCAGGTCACGTGTGAGCAATGTTTGTTTTCCAGCCCCGGGCAGGGGATTTGCAGCCGGCGTCTCCCCCTCTTGTGCTGGGCTGCTGTGAGTGCCTCAGACGGCGATAGCCGAAATCGCTCTGCCGCCTTGTACAGCATGCGCAGCAAGGAGCGATGATACCTTTGCAAACGAGAGTCGCACCATCCTTTCCACCACCATGGCGACAACTGAGGCAAGTACTTAACCACTAGCCTCGCTTCACAACTACCAATCAGAGCGGGCAAAGATTGTAGGGGATTGGTGGCCTGGAACGAATTAAGCCACTCACCAGACTAATGCATCAGTCCAGGCACGCTGTTTCGGAAACAGGAACACTTAGAGCAAAGCTGTCTTGAACCCTTGCAACATCCAGACCCCAATTGACCAAAGAGTCCCCCATTGATTGAATCCGTCACTTGCATGTTTGGGACCTGGACTCAATGGGCTGCACCTTCGCAACGGCACACGTTCTTTGGTAGGGCCGCTAATTCGCACCGTTGTAAAGGTGCTACCTGTGTAGGTGGCCATTGTTGCAAACCCGAAGCAGCAAGAAAGGAGCAAAGCCTGCTCGACCATGGCATGGAATCATCACACTTCAGGATTCAGGACCTTTTCGTTTAAAAAAAACACTAAAAAATACTAAAAACATCGAGGGAGATCTCCACTTTTGGAGGGAACCCCCCCTATCAAACTCCGCCAGGTTCTGCCAAGCTTCGGCCTGTGAAGCTGCAGTGTATAGGACCCAGCGCCGGGGAGGTTGCCTGGGAATGCCCCGAAGCTCTGAACAGGTTTGCCTCATTCGGGTTTGGCTTTGGTGGGTTCTGGGCCCCAACCAATAGAAACCCAGGATTGATAAGCCCCTTGTTGATCGATTGGGGAGCGTCCTCTTGTCACGTTTCGAGCAAGACGGTAAATGTGGCAGGTTGATGAATCCAACATCGACGTGAAGGTGCAAATATGCGCTTGATGAACTATAGCAGCGTGAGACCGCTAGCATACAAGTTTTGGTCTTTCCGAGTAGCCCTTGGGGAAAGCCCGGGTTGAATCTCGTCGCACCATGCAGCACGCAGCGTGCACAAGCGTGGGTCGGTATGCGAGCCCAGGAACAGGGAACAGGCATAATGCTCTCAGACGGAACCTTGCCTTGCCCAGAAACCATGGAGAACTGCCCATGTGACCATGGATCAAAATCCCGTACCCCCAGTGAACATCCCAATCCCCACTAAAATAGACTAAAATGGGTGGGGCACCTACCCCAAGATGGTTCCATTGGTTTTGACCCACAGCCATTTTGTTGGGCTGTCTGAAGAAAGCCCAGCCAAAACAAAGAAACCGTGGCCGAAATCCACACCTGCAGGACGGATTTTGAGTCCCTTAAGCGCCCGGCTCATCGAGAACACCTCGTTGTCGAGCGGCGATGGCTCCTGCACAAAGGAGGGGAAGTGGGGGAGTGGTCCCCCAAGCCTTAGGCCTTGTCTTCCCTTGTTCATCTGTCTGATTGAGGGAAAAAAGCACTGGATTTAAGCTCGGTGAATGATTTGTCCCATCGAAAGTATAGATAAATGTGCTTCAGCATCAGGAACCGAAGTGGTTGTTTTGTCCTGTTTGCCTTTGCAAACCATCCAAGAGGCCCTTAGACTCATCTTTGCCGAGGCTCCTCACCCCCATAGCTCCCAAAGGTGTCGAAGAAGGTTAAGGCGTTCCTGAGCGCGCGCAACCGGTCCGATCATTTGGGATATATTAGTCGGCAATCGGTATGCTGTCCCATGCTGTCCCCTCCAATTCTCAAATTCTGAAACAACAGTACGGTTGAAACATGTCAAAATCCATTGGACTCCCTTTGAAGTAGTCTTCTCCAGGCTGCCCTTGAGTTGGACACTTTGGATTTGAAGTAAATGTAGGCTTCGGAATGGTGCAGCCTCCCCAGACTGTTTGCAACTAAAGCTGCACTAGAACTTAAGGCTCTTCAAACTCAAAAGGCTCTTCAGACTCAACTTTTGCAATGAGCTAGGTGGTCATGCTATCCAAAATGCTTCTGCTGCAGTCGGTTCACACAATCATACAGCATGCATGCGTATCACTTTGGCCCTTCTCACTCACAACTGGACCAGCACATGACAAGCACAAGGTGAGTCGCAATCAAAACCTGGTCCTAAAATGGTCTACCCAGAACCATGTACTACTCATGGTTGGGATCGTCCCTTAGTAACCTTCATCTACCCGGGTTTTGATTGTCACGCGAACTCATCCCTTTGCTTCACCATGGCTTTGCGGCAACCGCACCCGCAAGACCTATAGCAAGCAAGGCATCTTCTCGGAGGCGGCTGCTCTGAGGACCGACCTGCGGCGGCCAATGCCTCGAAGATGTTGCTGACCGGCTTCCTTTTGGTCTGAAACTGCCGTTCTGTTGCCAGTCTGACAAAACGTTGGAACTCTCATGTCTCATGTCTGAGGGAACTGTTGCCAGTCCTTCCTACGAAGCCCCTTGCCGCCTTTGCCCTTTGGCCTTTCAAGACCGCGAAAGGCCTTAGCCTCGCGAGACCCAGCCCGCCTCAAGCCGCGAGGTCCAAGCGGATTGTCCCCCAGGGACAGGTGCTTCAACTTCCTTGCCAGGTTTCGAATGGGGTCTGGAAAATTGAGCACCTGCCCAGCACCTGTTGGCCTCACCTTCACACATAGCTGGAGCAACGTGCCTCTTAATGCATCCAAATGCTGGCCAGCCCAATCAAGTTGCTGCCAAAGTGCTTGTGATTCTCCAAGGCGTCTTCCAGGATCAGCGCAGAGCGAAAGTCCATGCCTGTCGCGCCACAAGTCCGTGACAGATTTTCCGTAGGACGCTGGCGGCATCGCGGCATCGGACCCGACAGTTGCTTCCAACACGTTCCGGCGCAGTCAAAGCAACATGCCGCGCACTGCTGGAAACTCTGGAATCAACAAACACTTCCATTGAACCACCTGAGCTACCAAGCTCTAGGCATCCAACCCCCCACAAAAGTTAGCTGAGTGTCGGCTCATGGAAATATCCAGGTGGGTCAGCGCCGTGTCCATCTGAAGCTGCTCCAAGTAGAAGTTGATCTTACCAAGACATCGCTGCTAACTTGTGCTGTTAAACGCATTCTGATGGATGCTCAATCAACACCAATGTAGTTCTGAAGCCCGGCTGAATTCAGCAATCAACACTTGACCAGGCACATATTGGAGGAACCACCCCAAGTTCCGCGAATTGGAGGAACAATGGACACTCAGAGTAATTGCATGCATTCCTTGTAACAACCGCCTGCCTGGAGTCAAGTGCGTCAACTGCAAACAAGCTTCTCTTCGCAGTGTCTCTTGCGGGGGGGGAAAGACCAGCCCAGGGAGTCAACAGTCAACCGTTAAATCCCCAGTTCCGGTGATTCGCCTTTTGAAGCGGGACAAAAACTGAAAATCAATGCTCCGCTCTTCAGACTGGCTGCTGGTGTGGACAGCGCGTCGATGCCCGTCCCGGAGCAGTTGCACACGTTCAGCTTCCGCACCTCAGCATCTGATACCATTCGTGCGGCCATATCTCACAAGCCAAGTGGAGAGCACTCATGGTCAAACAAATGGGGGAGCACCTCCACAAATGACACCCAGAGGTTCTGATGCGCGGTCTTTCCTCCAGGCCAATGCCAACCTTGTTCGTGGGCTCGAGAGGATTCGGAGTGCCAGGCCAGGTTGGCCCTGTCCAAACAACCCAACTGATGTGACAAGCCTGAGGCCGCTCTTCAAGCACACCACCAACATCCATGGGTTGAAATCATTCGAGACAGGAGGAGACAGGACAATTTCCTTCTCTCGAACACCTGGGCTTATCCAAACATTCCGGCAGTCAGCCGACCCTCAATTGCCGGCTCCTTGGCTACCCATTCGATTCGGCTTCAGGAACTGGAGGATCAAACATCCACCAGTGCAATCAACTGAAAATGCTTCGACCAAGTCTGGTTGCACTCCCTGGTTTTTTGTTTGGGGGGCGTGGCCCTGGCAACATTCATTTAGTTGGTTCCAAATCCTATTTGGAGAGAAACAAAAACCCTCCCTCCCCCCCGTCCTTGTCACCAGCACTGACATGGCCCGTTTGAGCCGAAGGCGCCATTTTGCGCTTTGCCAGCTGCTCGCCCAGGCAGCGGAAGAGCTCGGAGCTGAAGTGGTTCCAGCTGAGATCCAGCTCTGCCACCTGCATCCAACGGGGAGGAAACTTGGCCCAAAGGCCCCCGAGAGCAAACGAGTCAACGAAGGAAACGAAGCAGGGAGGGCTAGGAATTTGATGGGAAAGCTGAGAAAACCAAACCAAGTTTCTACCCTCGTGGCTTGATCACCTTTTAGAGGCTCAGACAAACCCCAAAGGAAACCTGGGATTGATAGTTAAACCCAGGTTGATTAATAGGGTGTTCCATTACAAGTTTTTTTGGGAACACTTTCTCTATTGAGGGAAAGCCTACCGCAGATTGGGTTGGTGACTTGGAAGTTAGGGGGTATCTAGCTTCTATCCAATCTTCTCGGCATGCCCTTTGGCCCCACGAACAGCTTTGCGAGCTGCATCCAAGTGGCGTGCCCTTGGAGGAGGGTGGTGACACACTGGCAGCCGAAGGCCATGGGCCCCTTCCTCGGGTTGCATCGCTCACTTCCCGAGCTTGCCAAGTAGCAAAGCCTTCTGTCTGAAGCACGGCAGAGGAGAAAAAAAAACTGGTTCTGCAATGTGGCAGTTGTGTGTTTTCTGCTTCAACAATGCATTCCTTCACCCCGCGAGCTGCCAAGAGTCCCGAAGGAGGTGCCGCTGAGATTGGCCTGGGAGCGACTGAGTATATGGAACGGGTCCATGTGTTGAAGGTTAGGCCTATCTTGGGCTTGTCCAAGCATGAACCAAGGGTCTGTGTATACTCTCCCACCCCGGTACGTTATGGACACCTGTCATTCAACCCAAACTATCAGGCTTTCACACACCTTTCATCGCAGTCACCGGCTCGTTCCTTGACCTTGTGGCCGGCTCTGAAACGGCCTTCTCCCCTTTGCCCGCGGAAGACAAGCTGAGCTTTGCCGCTTTCAGCCGGCTGGTGGCCCCCTTGCGGTGCGTTGCGGGCAGGCGTCGTAGCACAGAGTCTGGCGCTCGCTGATGGCTTCACAGAGGGGCAGCAGGTTGCGGTGCTCGATCTTCACGTGGCTCAGGTCCTTAGATCCGGAGCTTGAACATGCCTAGGAATTCTGATTGGCCTGGCCCTTTGGAGGACATGGGGCATCATTTGGATGACAAATGGTGTCCACTAGTCAGTTTGGAGGGTGCTCTGTGGTGAAAATCATGGCCACAGGAATGGGCATCAAGATTGGAGGAACCCCACCTCATCACTCATGGGTCACTCACACATTGCAATACTGACAGGCTTGCACCGTATTTATGCAAAGACCCCCCGGGCAGATTGCAGAAAGGGCTTGGCCTCCCTTTCAACAAGTTAGGCCCCTCCCTGACGTGCGCACCTAGAGGACAGAAAAAAAGAAAAAGAGCTGTGATGGATCAATCAGTAGGTCCAGCGAGGGGGGTCTTTTCAACCTGGTCTTAACTGCTTCGACGCTCGCCTCTTTCTGACGCTATCTGAGGTCCAGTCGAGTCTGCGCAAGTTGAAGGCATCGCTCACCAGCTGGATGACTCCTAAGGATGGACATTGAGACATGGGCAGCAGCCCGAAACGCTCCCCCCGGCTCAGACCTTGGGAATCCAGGCGCTTCTGAAATTCTGAAAGTCCATTGCAAATAAGAAGCAGGCCTCCATTGCTAAGAAGCCGCGCAAGGAAAAAGCTGCAAGTCTTCTGAAGGAAAACAGGCAAAGTCAAAGACTTTGTGAGAGCTGACCCGGTGCTGAGCCCAGATCACGAGACCTCACAGGGGTATCCCCCCTTGCTTGCAAGGAACTTGCTTGGCAATCCTCAATGTAAGCCTTGCCGCCATCTTTGGGCTGCACTTACCCTTCCAGGGTCCCAGACTCCCTGTCTGGATTCACCAGGCCGGACAGCCGAGGCGCCATCCACACACGCTCCTCCTGCCTTGGTGCATCCGCCAAAGCTCAGCTCCACCAGGGTGGCCGCCTCAGTTCAACCAGGGGTGCATCCGATCCCCTGGTCCAGGCCAGATATCGCAAATGTGTTTTTTCTTGTCTTAAAAAAACAATGTCTTGTTTTTCTTCCGGCGCCAACCCTCTCCAGTCGGTTGGGAGGAAAGGCAAATGAAAGGATTGGACATGCTAAATGATTGGATTCCCAAGAAGCACTCACATTTGTTTGCAGTGCTTCTGTTCAACCTATCTGAAAGGTCCGCCTGCTGAGCACCTGACTAGCTTGGGCTGGAGCAGCCGTCGCAATAGCTGTCCTAGAGCTTTGTCACCTCGCCACCATCAACGATCGACCGCCCCTGCCCACATAGACACGGCTACCCAGCGCTGCTTACAGCTCCACCCAAGCACGAGCACATGCCATAGTGAACGGGAATGACAAACGCCGTCCATAAGAATGGGCACAAAAAGCTGAGTATGGAGAACTTGTCTGACCGTGCTCAGCCGCTCTGAAATCGCCCATGGTATTAAGAATGTGTTCTAAAAGCTTGGTTGCTCTTGACCCCCCTGCAAAAAGTTTGACTTTTGGGGGGTTTAGTGGAAAACCCCCTTATTTCCCAAAAAGCTAAAGTGTAAAGATCCAACCCAATAGCAGTCAAGAAAGAAGTTTCCCTGGGGCTGCAGCTCAGCAGGGCGTTGCCATGCAAGTCCACCTGCGCCAGCCAGGCACGTGCCCCTCCGTTTTAGATGTCTTCCCAAACGCATGGCTCAAATCTCCTGGCGCATTTGTGAAAACTTGGCTCCTGCCAAAGCAACATAACGCAACACAAACCACAAGCTACTCTTTTGGATCAACTTCGACCGGCTTGGGTTAACCCCGGAACGGATTACCTCTGTGCCCACATGCTCCCTGCATCTTGAAGCCTGAAAGCCTCTCCCAACAAGCAAGCCCCACATGCTCCTGCTTAGATTTCTTACAAATCCTCAACCCTCCAAGTCATGACTGCACTTGACACGGCCTGGCGGATTCGACTTAGAAGCCTAACATCGTTCAACTCTGCAATTTCCGAGCGAGGAATTTAAACATCAAATATCAATGTCATTGTCGTGACTTGTGCAGTTTCAAACTGGTTTAATCAAACTTCTTGAGCACCGGATTAGTATTGATTTAGCACTGGTTTATATAACGCTGTACTAGTTAGTTCTAAGAGTTGCTGCATAATTCGGCTGGAGCTGGGAGTCGACAGGCAAAATGCTGTTTTCGACCTGGAACATGTTGGGATCCCTGGCCTTCTTGACTGCCTCCACCGTTGGCAGCGTTTCCGCCACTGCCTCAGCGAGTTTGCTCAAGGCCGGGAGGCCAGTCTCCAAGCGGTTTGTTCTTTGCTTCCTGTGTTGCGGTGATGTCATTAAGTCACATTACATGCATACCTCGCGTTCCAACACGTTGCGTTGCAGTACCACAGCAACAAAAAGCACATTGAACCACTTACATTGTACACCCTTATGGAACCAAGCACACACACACACACACACACACACACACACACACACACACGCAAACACACAAACAAATACACCAACCAACCAACCAAACCAACCAACTAAACATTTAAAGCAAGCAAGCAAGCAAGCAAACAAAGAAACAAAGCAGGCAGGCAAGCAAGCAAGCAAACAAAGAAACACAGCAGGCAAGCAAGCAAGCAAGCAAGCAAGCAAGCAAGCAAGCAAGCAAGCAAGCAAGCAAGCAAGCAAGCAAGCAAGCAAGCAAGCACGCACGCACGCACGCAAGCAAGCAAGCAAGCAAGCAAGCAAGCAAACCACCACACACACACAAACAATTCAAACAAACATGCATGCAGATATGTTACACATCGTTACACTACATCGCGCTGCATTGTGTTGCATTATGTTGGCAGGGGCAGAAGCCCTGGGCAGGTGTGTGTGTGTGTGTGTGTGCGCGTTTGCGTGTACACGTGTGTTTGCGTGCTTACGTTTGTGCATGTCCGCTCATATGCCTTATTTGTTCTTGGCTCCGTCGTCCTGTTCACGCGCGCTCCCAATCCTCGTTTCCCCCTGGCACGGTGATGTCATGCACACGTTTGCCCACGCCTGCCACGTTTTCCGGGGGGGGGTGGGGGGGGGGCGTGCGGGGGATGATTCCGTTCGGTGAAAGGGTTTGCGTTGACTGTGCAGCACACGCTGCCTCCAACGGCAGTCTGCAAGCGATACCGTAGGTTACATGTTTTTGTTCGCGTTGTTCTTCTGCTGGAAACACGGCCTTCACATGGGTCAGCACTTGCCGCAGCCAGTGAGCTCATGGCGTCTCTCCCGTTCTGTTTTGCTCTCTCCTTTTTGATTTTGCTGCGTCTTGCTGATGTTCGTTGTTTGCCTGCTGGCTTAGATCCTTTTCTTGCTGGGTTCTTTTCAGTTCGAATTCGGTACCTGGACGATTTGCATTTCGTGGCTTGTTTGCCGGACCCCGATCCCATTTTGGAGTTTGTGCTGCAGACGGGTCTCATAGAGGCCCGCTTCCCGCTTCAGTTTGACGTTTTGGAGCGTTCGGTGTGTGCGTTGCATTTGGCGTGGTGTAGTGCCTTGGCTGGCTTTGTCCCCTGCAAGGGCATTTTGCACGTTGATTTGCTTGCTGCTCAGTTCGTTCTGTTTGGTCGTGTTCTCTTGATGGCTAAGATGATGAACGAAAAGGCGCTGCGGCGCGCGTGAACAGGACGACCGAGCGTTGTTCTTGTCTTTGTGTTTGCATGCTTGTGTGCTTGTTTGCTCGGTTCCTTGTTTGCGTCCGTTTGTCTGCTTCTCTCGCTCTCTGTCTCTCTCTCTCTCTGTCTTTCTGTCTCTCTCTCTCTCTCTCTCGGTTCATCCCGCCCGCCATACGAACACACACACACAAACAAATAAGCAAAACAAGAAGCAAACAAACAAACAAACAAACAAACAAACAAACAAACAAACAAACACAAACACTTGTAGCAACTTGCAGCAAGCAAGCTGGCACGAAGCAAACAAAAGCACGGACAACATTCTTAAAATTCTGGAACGAGGAGTCCTGCTGAAGTTTCACAAACAAGCTGCCAGCAGCTCCATGTCGCTAAGATCCAAGTGCGCCAATTGCAAGTCCTGGCTTTCGCCAATCCTAAGTGGCAAGCAACCAGAGGAATGGACAGTAGCACTGGATGCGCTAGCTGGCACTAGGACCCTGAAAGAACCACTCTTGCGGCATCATGCCTTCAGAAGAAAACAAATATTATATGCCTGGAGGTGCCTGGCAGCTGGATGTGGCTGGCTGTCCAACCAAACCGTGTCATGCTATAGGTGTATCGGAGCTTGCGCCCCAAAACCCTGGCGCAGTTTTGAGGCGCATTCAGCACCATGTGCACTCGCCTGTGGCCTAAATGACCTACCTGAGTATGCGTTCAGTCTGGAGAAGCCAAAAGGGAACTCGCCAATTTTGGGGTTCACACTTACAATACCCATCTTACGTTCCTAGCAAAACTGAGAGCCCACCGTGACAATAGCCCCGCTGCCAGGACGCACGAAGGGAATGGGCAAAGGTGTCATTGTCAGGCCATTGCACTGCCGCAAGTAGTGCGCCCTTGTGACATTGTTGACCTAAGGCAAGCGGCGCGAATCCTTCACAGCAACTGGCAAAACCGCCGGCAAAACTACAGCGCATCAGTTGGCAGCGGCAACGAATGACAAACACACTGCCAGCCTGATCATTTAATGAGGTCATATGCGTAGCTTGCAACATCCAATGGGCTGTGCCTCCCGGACTGGTTGCCTTCCCCACTTCGGCTCAGGCAAAACATACTAACAGCTGACATGACTGCCATGCAAGCAATCGCAACCCAGCGCCTAAGGCACGAAATAAGGCGCTGGCCGGAGGAAGTTTGCACACCTTGCCAGTCCCAGCATCCTTCAGCAACGAGGTCGAAGATTTGGTCATTAGCTTTCCTCAGGCATCGTCGATTGAAAGTGCTTGAAATATGTGGGTTGCCTATGCGCTTGTCATCTGACATTTTTTGCAGTGGTCCCAATGAGGCCACAAAAAAAAAAAGAAGAAAAAAACACATAGAATCATAGATGTGTGCACCACGATCTAGTTGACCAAAGGAGTGGCAAAACAGGTACTGTCTCAAAGCGCCACCCGGCAAGTTCATACACACATCCACGTGTGCACGCAGAAATACCCAGCGATCACAAGTGGAATCTGTCCAAATTCGGGACGCTTCCAAACGGATTACGCGAACATATCCCTTGAGCACATGGCTTAATGCAGCCGCGTTTCGAAGCGAGAGCTCCCGTGAAAGTCGCCGTGTCAATGGCACAGATGTCTTTTGTGCCTGCGCCTGTGAGGGCTCGCCGATGCAAGGGCCCTGCCAATGAGATGTGTATCATGTGTGTATCATGTGTCATGTTGCTTCCTCAGCCACGCACTTGATACGCCCTGACTGAACTCAAGGAAGGGTGTCCAAGCCCTAGTTGATTTACGCAGGTTGATAGGAAACCATACAAGAACGCCAATTATTGTAAGGAGGCCTCTGTTGTCTTACACCTCATCCGGGTCCGGATGTTCAGGGCTCTCCGCAGCTCAGCTCAACCCAAAGGACTTTGAGACGTGTGGACACGCTAGGGATGGCGCGGGACGACGGAGGGATTTGTGTTAGACGAGACTTTATGGGAGCTGCTCGGAAAGGTTGGACATAGTTGGCCTGGGGTATTAAAAGAAGAATGTGGCAATAAGGATTCTTGCAAACTACATATATACAAACAAAGGCAACCCTGAGAGTTGTGAAAAAATGCTGAATCCTTTCATGACCCTTTTCTAGTATATAATGTCGGTACCCAAGTAATCAAAGGGTACCAAATAAATGTGTTTTAACACATATTATTCTTCATCCCCAAAATGAAAAGGGGTACCCTCGAACCAAATCTGGGACTTAAATCCGCAAAAGAGCTTTTGGGTCCGGAGTTTGTTTGTCCGGACACAACACTCATCCCTCAAACTACTGGCTTCCTTACAAGCCTTGGAAATTTGCCGGCTGAGCACCTCTATGCAAAGGAGATGTACGGAAATCAATTTGGGGCTGGGGCGGAGAGACGGCTGCACAACGGTGTACCCTTTGTTCATTTCTAATATTGAGTGTTTGGGGTGGCCATGTGCTACCCCCTCGGCTTAGCACTTTTTTTGTTTAAAAAAAAGTAAAGGATGGGTGGCCATCCCAAATACTCGACAATAGAAATGAAACAGGGGTAACCAATTATTAAACTGTTTTCCAGGCCGAAAAGCCAAAATACTACTAAACCAATACTAAACCAATACTAAGCCAGTACTAGCGCAGAGCCAGTACTAAGCTAATGCTAGGGCAAAGCCAGTACTAAGGCGGCACAAGGCAATGCTAAACCAAGACTTCTTCAATTCTACACAGTACCGGGCCAGCTCAAGGAAAAACTCAAACAATTCAAAACCAGTACTAGGCAAAGAGGACCCAAGAGGACCGAAAACTTAAAAAAAAACAACTGAAGCGGTAATAAGCCGCCAACACTAAGCTAATACAAACCAATACTTATTAAGCCAGCACTACGGCAGCGCGAGGCAACACAAAACTAATACCAAAGCAATACTAAGCGATAATAAGCCAGTACTAAAGCAGCACAAAGCAATGCTACACCAATACTGACCAATACTAAGCCAGTACCAAACTTGAAAAAGGACAATCTGACCCGCGAATAGTCTCACCGGTTTGTCCCCAAGATACTTTTTATTGATTTATTTTGGGGGGAGGGTTTAGGGGTAACTCACCCACATTATCTGTTTTCAGGTGTCATATGTGTCATGAGCGTGTTGTTGGGTTTCCTTGGACTTGGCAGCTTGTGGTTAATTGCTCTCAGTTTGACTCGTTTGACTCGTAAGGATGTGCGCTCTTGTGAAGCAGCCGTGTTTGATTATGGTCGCCTGAACCCATGCACTGGTTTTGCGATTCAAGCCTCCATTGCCGGAAGGGACAACCCTCTTGGAAGATGCCGCAAGCAGGGCCATAAACTCTTGGAGCATCAAGCCTAACGAGTCCATGACAAAAGTCGAGTCAGCCATACCCAAAATAAAGTTTAGCTTCGCCCGTCGGCCTTGGCGACGGATACAGAAGAGTTGCTCCTTCGCAGTGGCTGCTCTGCGAAGCTTCAAAGGGGCACCAACCATGCGGATGGAGCCTGAATTGCAAGCCACGCAGAGCACGCAGCAAGCAAAGCAAGCGAGCGAGCAACATGAGACACAAGAGTGTAGCCCAACGCCGATCAGCGGGGGTCAGCAGACAGTGAATACAGCACAGGGAAAGTAGTGGCGCGATGGTCAGTCCTCTTCAAGCCCGGGTGCCTCAGGCAGTGACAATACGCTGCAGCAGCAGGCGCATGACGTAACGTCAACTTCGCTTGTATCCGGGGACCGTTTACTCATCCGAGGCTTCCTTACAGTTTAGAAAAGCGAATCGATTTCCCCAGCAAAAGAAGCACCACCCCTGATTAGTGTTCCTCAAGAATCATCGAAGTTTACACAGACTGCCAATGCAAAAAACAAAACAAAAAAGATACGCACACCCGACACGAGTAGCGCAGTGTTGCTTGATCGCGGCACGAACGCGTGCGCAAGTGCGCAAATGCTGATTTAGACCAAAGCCGTTCATGAACCAACCCCATAGACCCGCAAAGACGTCAACACCAATTCAAGCAGCTTCCTCGCGGCACGGGTCAGCTTCAGTCGGAACCCCCTCATTAGACACTGGTACCAATGGGAAACTCTGTGGAGCATACGAAAACAATCCAAATCAATCCATCTCTTTGAAACATGTTGCAAATCAATCCCCGATAGCCCCAAAACTGCAAACAACACACACACTGCTTGAGAGAGGCAGCTGCCTTTTCCACTGGCACTGCGCCCAGCCCAAGCAATCAAGGCAAGGAAATGCAAATCAAGCAACCAGCCATGCTGCTCCTGAAAGTACAACTTCTTAATTTGGCTTCATGCCGGTATGGTGTGACAAGGGGACATATATTACCTTGCATGAGGGCCTTTCCCTCAAACAATCTGAAACCCCCGGAAACAATCTGGCCACCTTGAGCCCTGAGCAATCTGGATTCAGTATGTGAGCCTCAAGTGATGCACACAATTTCAATACTAAACCTTACAATGCAAATCAGGTAACTCACTATAAAACACACATACTTGACAGGGGGGTGGAACGCTACTCATCCGGGGGTGAACATGATTTTAGATGGACATGGCTCCCGGCAGTATTCTTGGAATGTAATGCCGAGCGTCTTGGTGTTCCACGCCTCCTGAAGCGCAATGTTGTCAAGATGAGCAATACCAGCGGTAGGGGAGACAGTGCAGTGGGCACATGTTCTAGTTGTCATCATTGGCAAACTGCTAAATTGGCGGTCCTTGTGGTACTCGTGCCAGAACTCCTCGGCAGCAAGCGCAACACACGTGTTTGTGTGCTGGGCATGTGCGCATTCGGCCTGTGAGTTCCCAGCCTCCCAAATCAGAGCTACACCAAGGGTCAAAAGCTGGAGACCGGCTGTCTTCCAAACTCTGCAATGCTTCCCCCAAGCGTGCTTGGCGCCAAGCAGCTGCAACCCGTACCCGGTGGTCGAAGCTATCGTCGCGAGGTGTTTCAGGAAGCTCGCCTCTCACAAATGCGGCGGATGATGCCAAATCTGCGGGGCTGTAGTATCAACACCAGCACGGCGGGAGACGGTAAGAACAAAATATGCCATCTCATACAAATCATGCTGCATCCAAATAAGTGCTGACATGCATCACTATAATATCAATACCAATGCCCAGGACCCAAAAGGTTGAAAGTTGTCGCAACCTGATTGCCGGTGCATTGCCAGACCGCAGCCTGTGTGCAATAGCCTGAAGCGCACAATCCAGGAAAGCACCTGCCGGGTGCTGTCACAAGCCTCTTCACGCACATGTACCGACCACATCGCTCTCCACAAAGGCTCACAACGTGCTCCTCATGTCTCGGGCATGACCTCAAATCTCTCCACATAATGACAAGCACATTCCTTGTCCAGTCGCCAACACTTGCTTCCAAGAAGTTCCAGGCAAGCTTCCCTCTAACTCCTACAAATGATAAAGAAACTAACACTCCGTCCCGCGGCTATGTACTAAAAAGCTGCAAGCACCTTTCATGTATTCAACCCCTTGTACCAAGAAGCTGCGCTGGAATCTGCACTGGGGGTGGCAAAATGGGGGAGACTAGGCCTAGAATGTGCCGAACCGGGCAAATCGAAGCTGCGGCCTGGCGCTCCGTCTCGTGGCAGCACCGCTCCACTGACATGAGGTACTTGGCCTCAGGGTGCAAGGAAAGTGGGCTGAATATTACCGTGGGCCCTGAAACAATGTCTCAGACCGACCTATCACATCCCGTCTCCAACTTGCACATCCCACAGGCCAACAGCTGCGCGTATCGGAGGGATGCCCTCCCCTCTCATTGTAAGAGCAACATGCATGGCAAAACCGACGCTGAGCGGCCCAGGCAATAGCCACTCATGTTCAGATACAAAAAACAACTCCGGCAAAACACATTTGAAACTTTTACCTTCTGTTTTTGTTGTAATTGAACCGGACTACTTCAAAAAAGCGAGCGACAACGAGCCAAGCAGCCCATTCTTTGAACCGTCCTGCGGGGGTGGGTGGCCAGCGGCCGGTGGTCTTGCTCTCCCTCGTCACGGTCATTGCGATGACCTGGGCCGTGCCAAGATTTCAACCACTCAAAAATCAAGGACATGGAAACGGAACTTCCGTAGTGCCTCCAAAAAACTCACCTTTCCAACATTATATCATGTTTACTGGATTGCCTCTGACAAATGCATGTGGAATTGCGTGGCTGCAAATGCGCCGGCTATAGGCACACCACACAAGCAGCCTCGCGGCACGTGCAAGCAAATTGTGCGCCAATCGCAAACCTGATCATGGTGGCATCAATGGGCTTCGGTCTGCAGCTGCGAAGAAATATCGAGTACCATCAGAAATCGGTGTCACAGCATGCCAGAAACCGTGGACCCGCCCGTTAAAACAATACAAGCTTTGTCTGCAATAGCAAATTATCTTGGTGGCATAGCGCCCTTTCGGCAGCAAAACTGGACGCGTTGTGCAAACCTGCGCGTTGATGATGTGGCATGTTGCTTGCTGCCCAAACGGCCCAAAACCTGGCCAAACGTGGGCTTCTTTCTGGGAGTAGTCAATGGCTTTTCCCGAGACTTGCATCAAGTTTGTATTCTTAGTGTTCATATGCCTGATTCGATCGCAGCGACCTCTTCCAGGCAATGATTGTGAGCATCTTGGTGCAGCCTCGCTGCTTCCTGTTTGTAATGTTTGGCAACCTCATGCAGAAGCGATTTCCGAGACATTCGATTTCGTGGTTCAAGCAGTAGTTTTTGTCTGACGGCTCCACCAGCTTCACCTGCCAGCTGCTCACTTAAGATCCAGTTTGCCAATCTTATTGAAGCACTCCTGCATCTTGTAGTTGAACTCTGCAGAATTCAAGCTGATCAGTGGAGCCCCGGGCATGTGCAACGCAAGCTCGGACAGTAGCCAGCTCCTTGAACTATGGCCTACAGGAACCAATCATGTTTTACAGGTTTCAGCTTTGCAACCTGCACGGAGCATGATTGTGCTTAGGAGACCTTTCCCAGTACTTGGAAAGCCGACGATGCAAAGGCGCAACACCTTGCTCAAGATAACCAGCTCGCTCATGACCCTTTCTCATTAGAACAATGCTGGGATTCAAATGCACCGAAAAGACAAAGTGGTCATGAGATCAAGAGACTTCAACTGTCAACCAACAGCTTGTCTCCCATCCACCCATCCCATGCCAACAACACACTAAAAATTCAGCCCAAAGGCTGCGGCCAACTCCTCCACCTGAATGAGGAAGCGACAATCGCTCACTGCTTGGGTCTCTTCTGGGTCATCCGCTCGAAGCACCTGGCCAGGATTGTCTGTGTATGTGTCTGTGTGTCTGTGAGTCTCCGTATCTGTGTCTCTGCGTGCGTCCCTGTGTGCCTCTCTCTTGCTCTCTCTCTGTCTCTCTCTCTCTCTCTCTCTTTCTATGCATGTATCTGTGTATGTGTGCCTGTGTCTCTGTGTGTGCGCATGCCGCAGGCCTGCGTCACTGTGTCCGTCTGTGTGTGTGTGTGTGTGTGTCTCTGTGCGCCTTTCTCTGTGAGTGCGCGTCTCTGTTTGCGTCTGTCTAGTGTGCATCTCTCCGTGTATTTTGTTTTGTGTGTGTGTGTCTCTGTGTCTGTGGGGCTGTGTCCGTGTGTGTGTGTGCGCACGCTTGGGTTCATGATTGTACTTGGGTTCGGGCTTGTGTCTGTGCGCACGCGCACGTTTCATGTATTGCCCTTGCAAGCGCAGCTTGCCTGGATTGCCAACTGGATGATGTTCATCTTAAACTCTCTGACTGCTGAACCAATGCACGAGCACCTGAACAGTCCCTACGCGGAACATTTTGTACAGTGCATACTCAGTCTTTCGGAAAGTTCGCTCAATTGCCAGCCAACTCCTGCCACTGCCTTCCATCAAATTCCCAACGCCAGCGGCCGTATATTAAGTGCCGGCTGGGCAAGCAGGGTGTAGGAACACGGGAAAGTGCCTGGCCCACTAGAACATTGGCTGACTCCTCAACTGTAACGACGATGCCATTGGCTCGCACTACTTTCCCATAACTCACAGCCCCTCTAAAGTTTCTCTAAAGCAATGGGGCCCATGGGCTTGTTGCAACAAACATGCCGTCAGGAAGCTCAAGGCCGACACTTGCCGGCTCAACATTCAACAGCCCAAATGTGGCCATGGCAACAAGCATACTTGTTGCTTCTGACTTGGGTCAGCCCCTAAACAGTTTGATGTGTGTTAGGTGCTTTGGTCGCTGCTTTGAACTTGCATAAGGCCCTGCACCTATGGCAAGCTCCCGTTCTGGCAGAAAACGCCTTACCACAAGACTGCACTTCTTGTGTGTGTGCACATTTCGGCACCATGCCATGCGTATGAATATGAGCTTGCAGGTAGACGTGTGCGGCTTTACACAAGTGGCATCTTTCTTCTTCAGCAGCGATCCCGCGAGGACGAAAAGGCCAATTGGTACCCCCAGTTGAAGCAAATATATGGGACCTGCTCCTTCCCAGCGGCGTATATATGGCTGTTTGTCAAAATGTTGGCTCCCAGTTTTGTAGCGTAAATCGCAATTCCATGGGGGCCCGTATCATTCGGGCCATATGAACACGTAACCATTGCGGCACAATAGGTTTGACTAAGAAACGTACAAAGTCTGACAGGCGCACTAGCGCGGGTCTTTTCTCAGCTGCTATCGGATGAGCCATCCGAGCTTGCAAAGCTGCTGCTATAGGATACACCACATCTTCAACAAGTAACAAAACGGAAACAGTTCGTACTACGGGAATATAGTTTTACTGAACCTGACTTACAACTACAAATTACAAACACGCAAGTGGCGTCTTGGGCATTGCCTGCAACAAGGCATGTGCCCCAGTTTTCAAGTTGGCAACTGCCTGCTAGCGCGGTGCTAGCACGGTGCTAGCGCGGAGCTAGCGTGAAAACCTGCCAATGTTTTCGGACTTTTTTGCATGGTCAAGTGTCGCCAGGTCAGGTACAGATTTCATGACAGGCGCAGTTCTTTAAAAACCAAACATAGCAAGCGCAACACTTTCGCAAAAGACATGTGCAGATTTCGTGGCAGACGCAGCACTTTCGCTTTGCGAGCAAGGAATGCCCCGAGCCCTGAGAGTGACCGGACAGAAGGGCCATGCGCGCGCATCTCACATGCCAAGGCAACTAACGTCCCTAACCTAGCGCCGAGCTAGCGCGAAGCCAGCGCTGCCAGTGGGATTTGCATGATTTAGGTGGGGGCCCGCTTCGTTTCGAAAAGGACAAAACAAGATGCAACAGGAATTGTGCACATACTGCATATAGCTCCTTAGCCGGCCTTTTGAACGGAAGCCATATGTTGTTTCTGGTAATTTAGGGAAGTCGGGAAGTCCCCCGCCTGAGTTATGAGCTGCAGCTCAGCCCTGGCAGGAGCCACAATGTCCCCGGTCAAAATGCCCCGCTGCCACCTGACGAAGGTCGGCACAAATTACGGCCCTAAACAGGGGCAGAAAGCCCTTGCGGTCAGCCAAACTGAATGCGTGTACGCGTGTGTACCTCCACAGTTGCGTGCGTGCATTCGTGCGGTGGGCGGGTGGGCGGGTGGGCGGGTGTGTGGGTGTGGGCGTGGGGCGTGTGGGTGTGTGGGTGCGTGGGTGTGTGGGTGTGGGTGTGTGTGGTGTGATTGCGTGCGCTTGTGTTTGCCTTACTGGTTTGCTTGTTTGTTTGTTCCCCATCCGTCAGATGGGGTTGTTGCGTGCAGGTCCGGGCCTAAGTTTCTGCATGGACCAAATACGCAGGGGTCCGTGTCTGAGTGCAGGAAACTCAGGCTTCTGGATAAGCAGATTGAAAAGCAAGGGAAACTTAAGCAGACACCAAGGGAAAAGCAAGGGGGAGACAAAGGAAAACTAAGGGAAACCAAGCGGGGGAACCAAAAAATACACCGCCGCAACGTCTCACCTAGTAGACCAACACCCCTTTGATAAAAAATTGGCTTGGAAAGAGGTGCCCTTTCTCTGGGCGCGCCCTCGCCGCAAGCAAGCAAGGTAAAAGGCGACCCGCGCAAGGCGCGGGGGGCCAAATCCAAGCCATGACCAGCACTTCTGGAAGAACCAGAAAACAAATTGAAGAAAGCCAGACTGACCCCCCCAAAGCAAGGGAAACCAACGGAAAGTTGAGGGAGGACTGCGGGAAAACAATGGAGGCGGGACCCGGCATTCTGGGCGAGACTAGAAGAAGCCAGGACTCATGCTAGGCGACACTAAGTGGGCGAAACCAGAGACAGACTCCGGGAAAACTACACACAGGACGGCTACGGCGCCGGACTTGGCTCAACGTGCAAGAAAAGTTGAAGACTACAAGAAGACTCCCAGGCCTGGCCGGAAAAGAGGCTGGCCGGAGTCCAAAAAAATGGGAGAAGCTGGACAAGCCAGTAAAACAACTTTGCAGAGCAGTTGGGAAAAGCGGGCGGAAGATCGGAAAAACAACTCGGAAAGCACGGAGGTGGAAAACTGAGCAGAAACTTGCCGGAAAAAACCCAGATGTTCTGAGAAAACTGGCGCCGCAAATCTGTGTGGCAATCCTTCGAAGCGGTAATTTGCTTGTTTGTTTTTTTTCTCTCTCTCTCTCTCTGTCTCGGTCTCTGTCTCCGTCTCTGTCTCTGTGTCTCTCCGCCTCTGCGTCTCTCCGAGCTCTCCGTCTATCTGTCTCTCGTTCTATCTCGCTGTCTCGGTCTGTCTGCCTTGTCTGTGTCTGCTTGCGTCTCTCTGTGTGTGTGTGTGCTTTTGTCTGTCTGTCTCTGTCTGTGCCCGTCTGTCTGTCCGTCTGTCTGTCCGTCTGTCGCTGTTTGTCGCTGTCTCTGTCTGTCTCTGTCTGTTTATGTTTCTGTTTCTGTTTCTGTTTCTGTTTCTGTCTGTCTGTCTCTCTCTCTCTCTCCCTCTCTCTCTCTCTCTCTCTGTCTGTCTGTCTGTCTGTCTCTCTGTCTGTCTCTCTCTCTCTCTCTCTCCCTCTCTCTCTGTCTGTATGTATGTCTGTGCGTGTCTCGTTTTTTTGTTTGTTTGTTTGTTTGTTTGTTTGTTTGTTTGTTTGTTTGTTTGTTTGTGTGTTTGCTTGTTTGCTTGCTTGCTTGCTTGCTTGCGTGCGTGCTTGCGTGCGTGCGTGCCTGCTTGCTTGCTTGTTTGCTTGTTTGTTTGTTTGTTTGTGTGTGATTGTTTTCTTGACGTGATTTGTTTGTTTGCTTGCTTGTTTTGCGCGTGTCTTTGTTTTGGAGGGCTTGTTGGCGTTGATGATTAGAAATGGAAGCCAGCCCATGTTTGAAAGCTCCTTGATTTTGGGACAAACCCGCATTGGCATGACAAACGGAAGCAGGCTCTATCGACCAAAGTCGCGCTTGGCTCCACCAATAAACAATCAGCCGGCAATGCCACCAACCAGGGAAAGAAAACCCGCAGAAAACCCACCCGCAGCTAAGAAAATACAAGCTGCACTCTTTCGAATGTAAGAAGTGCAGCTGAGCCACTCCTCCAACTTGAAGTTTCGCTTGCATGGAAGGCAACCCCAGAAAACTTCACAGGGAGACAGAAATTGCTGGATTCGGAAAAGCTTTAATCATCAGCTTTCACTCACTGCAGCCCTGCCACAGCTTCACAACGAAGGTCTTGGTGGCGAGGACACGGCGTCGCTCAATGAAATCGATGACTTCCCCATCCTTGGCCGTGCTGCTTGCTGCATGTTTACTGGGTCCTTTAAGGTGATTACATTTAAAGCGCTCTCATTCTTGAGCGTGGTTTCCCTTCAAGCCACCATCAAAGAGAAACTTGGAGGATTCAACTTTCGGTAGGCCTTTTTTTGAACAGGGCCATCTGCCGGAACGAGCGCAACCATGTCGTGATCTTGTTCGAAATCCCCAGCCGGGGTGCTGAGAGCGCTAAGTGGCACATCTTGCGATCAGTCCGAAGCCGAAAGTCAGACACTGACACTGTCGAAGGCCTCTAGGTGGTCAGGGTTTCCAAGGCCAGCACTTCCAACCGCCATGGCGAATGATAAGCTGATACTTCCATTTCAGCTTGCGCTTTCAACTCGCGTCTTGATCAGGAAACCTTCTCAACACAAACATATTGTGGTGGGCAGGGAGGGGTTCTCAGGAAGACAAACTTCCAAAATCCCGTAAGGCAGGCCACCCCACAATTTCCTGAAAACATCCCTCTGCCAAGAGAAACTCACCTCAAATGGGCTCAAAAGGCGATCTTGAAACCAATCTGGGACAACCCGCTTCCCGCTCACGCGCCCCCCCCCCCCGTGGCCAAAGGCGCTGTGTCTGGCACACAGGCGCTGAGGTCCATCGAGATGCGTTTTTTTGGGCTCTTCAAAAAGCCTGGCTCGCTTTGCGCAGGCTGCATGAGGTCCCCTCAAAGGGGGTCTCTTTGAGGAAAACCAACTTGAAGATGCAGGGAGCAAACAGGTGAAACAGGTGAACTTGTTGCAGGGGGTCTGTAAGTCAGGGGTGACCAGCATGCTGCCTTGGTAGGTTTTTGCGATATGGAGGCGCTCACCTCGTCGGTCGCCGTTGATCGCACAAAT